CCTCATCCTCACCCTCCCCTTTCCCCTCCACCGCCCCTTCATTTCTCACCCTCATCCTCCTCCTCCTCCTTTTCTTCCTCATCATCATCCTCATCCTCTTCCTCCTCATCATCTTCATTCTCCCCTTTCCCCTCCTCATCCTCACCCTCCCCTTTCCCCTCCTTCGCCCCTTCATTTCTCCCCTCACCCCTTCCTCCCCTTCGCAAGCAAGCACAAAGCGGCTCCGGAGATCCAAAGGCAACGCCCACACCGGCTCCTCCTCGTGAAGGTCAGATGTTCACAAGATGAGGCGAGAGAAGCTTAGCAATGGGAGAAAATACCCGATGCATATCTTGTCTTCACTTCCTCTTGAGATATTTTGAAAGGTGGTGTTATTTTCTTTCGTCTTTGGTGTGGATGTTGCGAAGTAATGTTTGTTGTTGTTGTTTTTTGTTGTTTTTGTTGTTGTTTTAATGAGTTTACACGGGAGAATTTCGTTTTTTATTTTGTGTTTAAGAAAGGGGAGGGATAGACTCTCCCTCTCTCTTTCTCTTTCTCTTTCTCTTTCCTTCTCTCTCTCTCTCTCCCTCTCTCTGTCTCTCTCTCTCTCTCTCTCTCTCTCTCTCTCTCTCTCTCTCTCTCTCTCTCTCTCTCTCTCTCTCTCTCTCTCTCTCTCTCTCTCTCTCCCGCTCCCTCTCTTTCTCCCTCTAGACTCGTAAACAAAAGCAGAAGCACTCACTGGGGTCGTGGAAGGGCACGAGGACGTAGTTGTGGATGGGTCGCTCGAACTTCTCAAGGACCGTCTTGAGGATCCTGCTGGCGCCGTTGATCACCTGCATGAGGTCGTCGGACATGGAGCCCGTGGTGTCGAAGACGAAGGCGAGCGTGGCGGCGCCCTCCTCCACGAGGTCCCGGGAGCCCAGGTCGATGTACCCTTGGGAGAAGGAGGAGCCCAGGCTGCCTGAGGAGAGGAGGCGAGTGTTCGAGGCTTCCCGGATCTTCTCCACGATGTCGCGGCGGCATCGGCGTCTGGTCGAGCCGCTGACATCACCCGCGAAGTCCGCCAAGACGGCCTCCTCCTCCGGGAAGAGTTGTTGGAGTCGGTGGCCCGCTCTGCCGCCGGGTTCGTGTCCATGTCTGAGGGCGTGGGTGACGTCCGCCAGCACGCACGCCACAAGGCAGACCAAGCCAGGCACTCCCGCCCGGTCTCTCACTCGCAATAACATATCTAAGTACTAATCCTAAAGGCTTTTATCATAACATTCCTGCGTGGAAAAGGGGGAGTTAGGCGCTGCATTATCATAACGCGCGATATATGTATGTGTTTTTTCGCGTTCCAGCCGTCAAGGTCGCGCCCATACCCAAAAAGTGTTTGCATAGTCTTCCCAAGCACCACTTTGCCCTTTATTTATCCGCCCCCAAAAGAAATAAATACTGCACTTTGTTGACAAGGGCTAATGTAGCTGGCCTCGTCAATGAACACTCATACTCTATAAATTTGATAAGGTGTCGCGCCGGAGCCATAATAGGGCCAAACTATTTCTGAACTTTATCTGAACTATTTGCTTGGTGTACCTGTGGCGATGCTTAAGGACATGCCAGACGGCCCTGCGTATAAACAATTTCCCATTTAGACTTATGCCGTCTTCACTCGGGGGGGATTTCTGGCCAAAACAACGCGTGACGTAAACAAGGATATGAACAAGGACGTCCACTGCATATTAGAGTGAGTTAGGGAATTTCTGATCAAGTTGGAACATAAACAACGACGCCAGTTGCATATTAGAGTGAGTCGGAGGATTTTCAGAGTAAATGGAGCGACTTCTGATCAAAATAAGATACGGAAAAATTGGACGTAAATAAAGACAGCCGTTGTTTGTCAGTATTAGGGAGATTTCTATCGCGAAGGGTGCGGTTAAGGAGGACTTCTGATAAAAGATAAGACCTAATCAAGACCTAAGCAAGACCTAAACAAGAATGGCCGTTGCATGCAAGAGTGAGTGGCATTCGCCCGCGAGAGTGCAAGGTGTTGCGGTGTGCACTCATCAGCGCCATGAGTGGACGGACACACAAAACTTTTATCTCGAGACCCTGATCCGAGCCGGACGCGTCCCCATGGGTTCCCCCCCCTGGCCTCCCCTTTTGCCTCCCCCCCTGGCCTCCCCTTTCGCCTCCCCCCATGGCTACCCCCATGGCCTCTCCCATGGCCTCCCTCATGGCCTCCCCCCGGCGGGCGTCTGGCCAGTGCTCACGACCCAGTTATAACAACACAACAACCTCTCTCTCCTCCTCTCTCTTGCTGCCATTGTTACATCAACCCCGTGGATGAGTCTCTCTCTATGTCTGTCTGTCTATCTGTCTATTTGCCTTTCTGCCTTTCGGTCTTTCTGTCTCTTTGCTAGTCTGCCTGTCTACATGCATGTATGTATGTATGTATGTATGCATGTATGCATGTATGTATGTGTGTATGTAAGTATGTAAGTATGTATCTATGTAAGTGTGTATGCAGCTCTCTCTCTCTCTCTCTCTCTCTCTCTCTCTCTCTCTCTCTCTCTCTCTCTCTCTCTCTCTCTCTCTCTCTCTCTCTCTCTCTCTCTCTCTCTCTTTCTCTCCTTCCCTAACTCGCTCCCTGTTTCTGTCTATGACTCTCTCCGTCTGTCTGCCTCTCTCTCTCTCTCTCTCTCTCTCTCTCTCTCTCTCTCTCTCTCTCTCTCTCTCTCTCTCTCTCTCTCTCTCTCTCTCTCTCTCTCTCTTCTCTCTCTTTCTCTCTCTCTCTCTCTCTCTCTCTCTCTCTCTCTCTCTCTCTCTCTCTCTCTCTCTCTCTCTCTCTCTCTGCCTCTCTCTCTCTCTCTACCTCTCTCTCACTCTCTATCTATCTATCTATCTATCCTCTATCTCTCCTATCTCTCTTCCACCTTCTCCCCTTTCTCTCTCTCTCGCAATCTTTCCCTCTTTCGCTCGCTCTCTCTCAATTTTCTCTCTCTCTCTCTCTCTCTCTCTCTCTCTCTTCTCTCTCTCTCTCTCTCTCTCTCTCTCTCTCTCTCTCTCTCTCTCTCTCTCTCTCTCTCTCTCTCTCTCTCTCTCTCTCTCTCTCTCTCTCTCTCTCTCTCTCTCTCTCTCTGTCGCTCTTGCTCACTTACAAGGAAAAAATGTTATCTTCGCTGCATAAGATTAAGTCACAAGTCTATAAGGAGAATAACATGAGGCTAAATTCCTAATTATAAACGATATAACACGCAGAACACTATGAAGTTTTCTTCTGGTTACAAAACATTCTAGTATCAATGTCTAACGACAATTTTAACATATATATACTTACTCACAACTATACAAACGCATTACTAAACTCCTTAAAGTTATTTGATATATACAAGATTTTTGTTTTTCCCCCAAACAATAGGAGACAGGAAAAATAAGTATATACCCTGTATTTTAACACATCGTATAGACATATATCAGTACAATTTCACAGTGAAGTCGTTTTGATAACATTAGTGCAGTTCCTTCATGAGTTAATCAATATAAGAATATATATCATATATATATATATATATATATATATATGTATATATATATATATATATATATATATATATATATGTATATATATATATATATATATATATATATATATATATATATATATATATATATATGTATATATATATATATATATATATATATATATATATATATATATATATATATATATATATATATATATATATATATATATATATGTATGTATATATATATAATACAATATCTATTATCGCTCTTCTTCATTATAAAACACTTTATTTGCGATATCTAAATGTCTTCAGTAAAGTGATATCATAACAATTCTAATCTATTGCAAAATTTATTTTTAGTTCGGATTAGAGTAACAGATCACAAGGACTGTCCAATAATTCTCGGTTTTTAAGAACATATCTTCTATGGTTGCATAAAAACGTGATGTATTTTAAAGCATAATTTAAGTCTTTAGTGACACATGCATATCCATTAGAAATTGTTATTGCTTTAAATTTTTCACCACCGGACTGCCACTCAGTTCTGTTTCGTATTCTGTTTTTCTCTTGCGTGCTTGAAGTTTTTTTATTTTGTGTAGGTCCAGATTGACAGCGAAAGTTACCTACACCGGGCTATTCGCACCGTATTACTTGCACCGGGTTATTCGCACCGTGTTGCTAACATCGTGTTATTCGCACCGCCGTGTTACTCGCATCGCGTTATTCGCACCGCTGTGTTACTCGCATCGGGTTATTTCGCGCCGTTTTGCTGGCACCGGGTAACTCGTGCATCGGGTTATTCCTACCAGGTTAATCGTATATGATTATTTGCACCACGTTACTCGCACCGGGTTACCTGCACCGGGAATAATGAAAGAGCGGAATGGCGCGCGCTGCTTCCGTCACTCCGCGCATGAGAGGCACTGGGTCAGCCCCTAGAGGAACAGCGCCACCTTGAGAGTGCCAAGCCTTGGCCTTGACTGAACAGTGCCACCGCAGTATCCAGGGTGCCTCCCTCCTGCCCTCACGCGGCGGGCACTCCCCCCGTTTTTGCCCACCTACGTATGGTGCCAGCCGCTGCCATCCTGGAGGCGGTTCGCGCGCTTTTTTTGTTCTTTATTCTCGTCCGCGGGAACACCGACGGAAGTTCTGCCGATCTCGCACTCGGGATTCTGTCGGGGTTTGCCGCAGTTGCCATAAACGCGGGAAGAGACGAGTGAGCTCAAGTACCGTCAGAGAGAGAGGGGAAAATCGCTATGGCAGCGTGGCATGTATGGCAACTGTACAGAGGGTGGCCGGGAGGGGGTAGGGGGAGAGGGAGGAAGGAAGGGCCCGCTTTGCTATGAAGAAAGGAGCTGTTTCTTGGCCTTTTGAGAAACGGGAAAAATGGGATGTCTTGCGGTGCGCTTTGCTTTGTATTTTGTTTTTTTAGTGGCGTCGATGGCAAAAAAGACATAGACAAGACAATAGATGATTCTGAAATAAAAGTATAATAAAAGTCGTCAGGGT